TATACGCTTGTTGTAAGCATAATCCTAAAAGAATCAAAGGTGTCTGACTCCAGAATCCAAACTGGGAGGGCCTTCCTCCCATTCTAATTTTAAATACCCTAGGAACCACAAGTAAGCCAGCACTCTGACAGCATGTGACTTTGGGCACTACGAGAGATTATGGGAGAAATATGCTCTCTGATACTAGTCCATCAGTACGCTTGCTGCAGTTTCCAGTATTTATCTTTCTGATATCCATATAATAAGTGAAACTTTAACCATAGAAAAACTCTTTTTAAGAAGTTAAATGCAAACATAATGACTGATAAATGTGGACTTCAATTCATCCAAAGGTGTAAAACGGCAGCATCCAATGACTGTGACTTTCTGCGGTGGTTGGACAATGTCATAAGCAGCCATAAGCAAACACAAACACACAACAATCTGCCAAAGCCGCCCAGAGGTGACAAATGAGGTTACCAAAAAGCCAGCTCTCCAGCTCGGGGGCCAAACACGCAGACTGTGATGACACTCACATTGACAGAGCAAGTTAAAGCTATTCCGCTTTAAAAAGGGATTTTCTTATACAATAAGCATGACAAAAGTCCGATGATGAAATGATGATGTGATGGCACTTTTTCCTTCAACTTCACCAATTAAAGTGTGTGTCATCCTGTGTGTTTGTGGGGGGCTAGCTGAGGCATGCAGTGCTGTGTCTGCATACTGACTGGTCAGATCAGGATCAAACACTGTGGACGTTTTCCCCAGCCCTGGGACTGGGACAGAAAATGCACACACACACTAAAACACATTGGACAGGGTTACAATTTTTACCCTTAGGTGAACTTTCTCACTCTCTAAACATCTCTAGGAAAAAGCATCACTGAAAGTGTTAGCGCATGGAGTTTTTGCCTGATTTAACTAAAAGAACAAACTGCTGATAAATGTCAGCTGAAGTTTATTAATTTCTTTATGGTTATTAAGGATGAGTTAACTTTCAGGGGTCAGCTGTACCCACAGCATCATTAAAAAACTCACAGCAGGATGACTTCATAGTAAAAAAAGTAAAAATAATGAATGATCTGGAGTCGAGAAACAGGCGCACAGCATGAAGGTGAATTTAACGGATGACATCATGCATCTCCTCCTCCTCTCCTCCCTCTTCTCTCATCATTCTGCTTTGTCAGGTTGACAGAAAGTGGCTGCCATGCCAACTTTGCCCCTTGCTGCTGCACCATAATACTAAATGTAGCTTGACTGTTAGCACACAATGAAGTCATAACGACAGCAAATCCACACACGCACAGATGTTTCATCTGAAAAATATATCAGGATTTTATTGCTATTGTTATATGAGTTCCCACAATAATAAAGTCATAAATGACAAAGATGTGATTCCGGAAATCGGGATCATTTGCTGCGCCCCCTGCTATTACTGGAGCCCAACTTATTCCTCCTTCTCAAATAACCTCTGTGACAAAGAAAGCAAGGCAAAAGGGACAAATATAAGATTTAGGGCAGACTGGAATGTAGGCCATTTCTTTTTGTGCATACTTGATTCGTACAGCTGCTTCATAGGAAAACCCCCGGTTGTTTTAAATCTGATAACACTGTGGCGGTTAACTGAATTAGCCCGAAATGCTAGTAATGCTTGATAAAACAATAGATAAGCAACATCATTACCACAAACTCTTACATCCATATTAGCACTATTATATATTATGGACAGCCAGTCCTTATGCAGACCCACATAATTTGTGTATCATTTAAAATACAAAGATAAAGGTGACAAAATTAATATTACCTATTGACATATTATATCATAACGTAATATGGCATGCCATCTACTATATGACACCTGTATAAATAAAACTTCAGATATTTGTTTATCTCTGGCTCTCTTGTCCTGTCACCCTCCCCTC